TGCGAGCCTACTTGGATCAACTAGAACAGGCGCCGTTAATACGAAGTAACGACATCCACGCAGTGGAGAAGTTTGTTGACCTTGTTAGAATTACAGTGGTAAAGTTACAGGCCGAAAGAAGAGACGGAGAGTTAGAAGATGGAACTCTTCACAGCTTGCTGATGAAAAAGTTGCCTGATGCCAGCTCGAAAATTACAGTCGCTGGTTGAACGAACGCGCCAGACAAAAAAATCAGTCATAGCTTTCAGAGACTGGTCGAAAGACGAAGTCAGATTCCAAATAGAAGCAGCGGAAATGGCGAATGGAATTGAGCCGAAATCCGTCGACCACGTTAGACCACCGAGAGTGCCGAGAGTATCGAGTTATTAGGAACAGAGCAGGATGCGAAATTTTCATACTGATGCAATAGGGAAAGAGCCAAAGAGTGTGTAGCCTCCGTGTTCTCTCTGCCAGAGTTTCGATCACGGGGTGTGATTTTGTAAGGAGTTTTATGACAGAGGAGTGGATGACTGCTGGAAGATCGCTAAAGAAAAAAAAGTTGTGTTTTCGTTGCCTAGCCTCTAGGGGGAAAGATTTCCTAAGGTCCCACACATGTGGAATAGATGTTTGTTCTCGAAATGACCACCGTCTTCTTCATGGAAGTGAAGATTTGTCAGAAACCGGACCGATGACAACGTTGCCTCATGCTGACGATGGGAGACACCCAGATGTTCCACGGGAGGGGGCGCCCGCTGTGACCCTGACCAGCTGTTGTACAGAAACGCCGACTGAGTCTTATTCGTTTCGAACTTTCCCTGTGTGGATGAAGGCTAATGGAAGAAAAGTAAAAATAAACGCCATCCTCGACGATGCATCGAACGAAACTTTCCTAAACGAAGCGGTTGCTGGGATACTGGGACTGCAAGAGCCATTCGAAAAAGTTCAAGTTTATGCGCTCAATAACACCGTCGAAACATTTCAGTCCATGCCAATCAAAATCGAAAGTGTAGATGGCAGGTTTTCAAAGGAAATAAGCCCAAAAACGTGTCCGCAGAAAGTCACTGGCAATTACAGAGTTGTGAACTGGAAGGACCATCAGAATAAATGGCGGCATCTGACCCAGTGCAATTTTCCCAAGCCGGCAAATGATGGGCTTGTCCATCTTTTGATTGGCATTGATAACGCTCAATTCCATTATTCGCACGTTGATCTCCGTGGAAAAAATGGTGGACCCATCGCCAGACACGGACCACTTGGGTTGAGCTGTATTGGTGCGCCTGACGAAAACGAGACCGCGAGAACACGATCTCACGTTATCCGTTCCTTGTTCACTAGAGAACCTATATGGAGCGAGGGAAAAGAATCCTGTTGTGACGTCGACAAGTCTGGAGAAGTTTGGCTCAGACCGCGATGGTAGACTCGTACTCACCGAACTAGCCTTAGGCAAAGTGAAAGATTCCCTCAAGTATGAAAATGGAAGATATCGTGTAGCCGTCCCTTGGAAAGAAAACAAACCCGATCTCTCCGACACTAAATCCATGAGACTCTCTCGCTTCAGAAGCACCGAAAGAAATTTGAAGAAAAACAGTCGCGTCGCCGACGAATATCAAGCAACCATTCAGGCCTATGTTGGAATGGGATATTTACGAAAGGTACCCTCAGAAGAACAGCCGCCAGCTAACGTATGGTATTTGCCCCATTTTTCGGTCATGAGAATGGATAAATCGACAACGGAAGTTCGAATCGTATTTGACTGTGCCGCCTAATGTGATGGTATTTCCTTAAATGAAATGATCCATGCTGGGCCGAAATTACAGCAAGATTTTTTTAACGTCCTTATTCGTTTCCGTCGAATCCTGTTGGTGTCGCTTGCGACATAAAAGAAATGTATCTTCAGATAGAGATTGAGGAGCAGGACCGATCCCACTTCCGACTTTTTCGGAGATACCTTGACTCTAACCGAGAGCCAGACGTATTCGAGTTTAGCCGTGTAGCTTTTGGAAAGAATTCCGCCCCTGTGGAGTCGCAGTTTGTGGCGTAGGAGAACGCTGGAAAAAACCAAGACCGCTATACCCTTACCACTAAGACCGTCCTTAAGTCAACCTATATGGACGATTCTATTGACAGTGTTGAAAACGATGATGAAGGAGTGGAGCTGTACCGTCAATTGAAAGCACTATGGGGAATTGCCAGCATACAAGCCAGGAAGTGGATCTCTAATTCACCGAAAGTTATTGAAGCGATTACGACAGAAGAGCGCGCCACAGAGATCGTTATTAACAGCGGTCAAGATCCGATAACGAAGACTCTTGGAATTTCGTGGAACAGTACTGAAGATGTGTTTACCGTCACCGCTTCTGCAGTTTTCCCGGGATTTCAGACAACAAAGCGAAACGTCCTGCGTAAAGTAGCAACGATTTTTGAACCACTGGCATTTGCATGCTCATACGTTATTATGGCCAAGATCCTACTCCACGAGCTGTGGATGCGAGGCTACGACTGGAACGACGAAGTTCGAGATGAAATAGCAGACAAAATCGGGGATTGGTTGGAGCAATTGAAAAGTCTGCAAGAGGTGAAGATTCCCCGGTGTCTACGACGTCCAAACCCTGTCAAGCGCATTGTGACATTTGCTGATGCCTCTCAACAAGCTTATGGTCCAGCTGTCTGTGTGCGCTTCGAATACGATAACGATACCGTAACCGGTCGCCTGATTGCAGCTAAGGGTAAAGTGGCGTCGTTCGACCCGATGACAGTACCCAGACTGGAACTCATGGGTGTTATTCTAGGCTTACGTTCAACACAGTCCTTGCTGACGGTCTTAGAATCACCAATGCAAAGCATGACGTTCTTCTCTGACAGTACAGATGTCCTATGGCGGATTCGAGGGTGCGGAAAAGACTTCCGACCGTTCGTAGCCAACCGAATTGG